TAAGGTTAAAATGGTTAAATTTGAGTTTTCTTCCGCTTTTTTCGTCTTCTGGGTTTAAAATCTTCATTGTAGCGGGTGGCGTGGCAGTGCACTGCACAGTGCGTTGATGACTCATCGGTGTTATCCTATGAGAAGACACGGCCTCTTAATTATTCATGACACCACGTGGATCTTTCCAACGACAGACATGACAAACTGTGATATCGCGTAGTAACGTTAGTTGAGAGAGGCAATCATGGGACGCAAACTATTTGTTTTCATGGTGCAAAGTCCAAGTGCGTTGAATATGTTCCCCGCGATGCTGCCAGGGCTAGACTCTGGCTCTGGACGGTTGGTTTGCCATCAAACACGGACACGTCTAAACCTGATCCAAACTTTTGTGTGTGCCGCGAACATTTTCGCAAGAGAGCTGCGACATCCAGACCACAAAACAATATCTGGTCGTAAGTTAGTGGTGGCAATCTCGGGTGGAAAAATAAGCCATTGATCAAGATCAGCCAGCATCTTCCAGTCCCTAGCAGTTTCCAGTTGTCCTGGGCGAGAATTGGTGTTAACACCTTTTCTTGGTGGTTGCTCGCCTGGGCGGAGGAATATTGTCTTCTACGTTGTGAGATTACAAATTTTATTAACATGTTTAATTTAATGTTTTAAATGGAGAAAGTCTGAAAACAGTAGGAATTCCCAGTGTGACCCTCCTGATTGTCCTGTGACCACACGGGAAAGCTAGGCCTTTCCTGTTTCTCGTCTCACTGTGTGAAAATGCCTGTTTGAAGTTTGAACACCTGCTGGGTTACCATTTGTCTTGGAGCTCCAGGGTCACATGCATTACCATTTGCTTTGTCTCAGTGTCTCCAGCTTCATGTAATCCCACCCTCTTTGAAATGTATCCACAAGTTTCCTTCGCCCCATGAGGCCTTGCGTCAAAAGTGGGCACGACTTCCGGTTCGAAGTAAACAAAGCGCGATTTGACATGCTTGACACTCGTTCATTCAACAGTCGACGGTCATTCAAGTTATAGCGATCCAAACTAGCTAACGATGTGGGAACACAACCTCAACGAAATTCAAAAGGGTGAAATAACAGTACCTTTACCTCCACAGTAGTTGATTGGAAGTATTATATTAACATTATTAATAATCAATACTCATCAAGGCATGGTGACACAGTTGTGCGAGCTGACAAACAATTAAAATAAAAAAATACACACTTAGTCATTGTGCTTTGGAGTTTATTCAAAATTATAAATGAATGTGCTGCTTGAATACATTAACTGGCACATTTGGTATTCTGTCAACACAGGCTTTGATCCTGAGTTTAGCTGTAACATCAGTAGAGAACAGCCAAACACATGCTGATAGAGTTTATAGAATATTAAGAATTTAAACAAATGTACACAGGAAGATTCGTCGTCTTTTGGGAGGTGATGGAAACTACAGTCGTTGGCAGGATCAGAGACGGGCTCTTAACAGGATCACTCTGATTTAGTTTTCAGCTTATGTTCAAAACAATCACGTTTAAGCCACTGAATTAGTTTAGTCCGGTTATACATACAACCGCGAACAGCGCATGTTGTCCCTGAGCTCCGTAACGACATCTCTCATAAAGATTTGCGTCTTTAAATAGTAAAATAATTCTCTGAAAAACACAAAATACCATTGGAATGCTACTTCCGCCGCGTCACAAGGAAGTTTCACCCACTTTATTTTTTACAGGAGCGCCCCTCGGAAACTTGTGGATAAATTAGAATGTAAGGTTCTTTTAAATCAGACTATCCTTGAGATGACTACAGCTACGCAATAAAGAGCAACTTATTGGTCATACTACGCTTGCCTTCCAATGCTAAAGACAAATATCGCAGTACTTGGTCATGGCGCCAAGTAAACCGACCTTGGCTAAGGCCATGTCCACACGGACACGGGTATTTTTATAGCCGGAGTTTTTCCCTCCTGCGTTTAAAAAAAAACCCTCCGTCCACATGAAAACGCAAAAACAAGACATCAAGCGCTGTCAAGAGCATTCAACACCAGCAGGCGGCGATATAAACCTAACCGTAAAGCCACGTTAGCCAATCAGAAGCCGTCAGCGGTGCAAAAACTCCGGTTTCGCTGTCTACACGACAACACTGCAACCGGCATTTCAGAAAATACTCACCCTGGCAGGGGTTTTCAAAAATGTTCGGTTTCAGTGTCCTGATACTGCGTTTCCGTGTGGACGAACGGCCGAATCGTGTAAAAAAGTCACGGTTATTAAAATACCCGTGTCCGTGTGGACATGGCCTAAAGGCCAATTTATACTTCTGCGTCGAGGGTACGCCGTAATGTGCGGCGTTGGCTACGCACGTAGGCGACGCCGTTATGAGCATTTATACTTCTGCGTTCAGGTCTTGTTGCTCTGCAGTACTGCTCCGAAACGCTAGTTGGCGGCGGAGAGTTTTAATGTTCCACTGTGTTTAGATTCCTCGCGGCTAGGGTACTACAAGCAATAGCGATTGAAAGAGAGTGAATCATGTTGGAGTTGGAGCTTATTGAGGTGGAAAAACAGTTCACTTTAGTGAAATTACTAAAACTGAAAGGCAGAAATGAGAGAAGACGTCGGAGGAGATGGTACGTGTGGAAATCATAGACAGTGATGGAAATGCGTGAGAAGGTACGTGCGGAAATGCGTAGGAGGAAATGCGATGCTACCAAGCCGACCAATCACCGATCTTGCGGTCCGCGTCGTCGCGACGTGTAGTTACATTTTTGAGGAGGTGCGCGTCAGGCGACGGCGAAGGGTACGCGGAATGGGACGCGTCTGTGCGTATGCTACGCTGTACCTACTGCGCGCACCCTACGCAGAAGTATAAATTGGCCTTAAGAGTCACCTTACATCCTGTCAAAATTTGCCTTGAACACAAAAGACAAGAGGGATCCTCTCCAACCCAGAGATTTAGGTTCTGCGGTGATGGGAGAACATGATATGTTGACCTAATAAGGAAACTGATCCTACTCTAGATAAATAATGTAGTAAATAATATCAATATGCAGTTCATACGGAACATAATGTACTATAGTCACAGCATGAAATAATATTTAAACCTAAATATTTCACAGACAGATTAACAAGTTTATATCTCTCAATTCTTATGATTCTGAGATATAAACTCGCAATTGTGACTTGAGGAAAAAAAGTCCAAAATGACGTATTTATTATTTTTTAAACCTTTTATTCCGTGGCTTCCATAGACCGCCACAGCAGAACTGTGAGTTTCTGTAACCAGTTAGGCTCCGCCCACAAAACACGTCAACGCTGTTCGTAAAGACACAACTTGACTATTATTCAGTAGTCAAAGGAAACATTTACGAAACATGGCATTTTATCTTGGAGCTTTACACTGCATGTATTATAAAGATTTTATGTCTATCTCTCAGTCTTATTCTCATAGGCATAAAACTAGGTTTGGCATAAATGGCTTATAAAGAAAATATAAATAAACTCGCAAGAGTGACTCATGACTAGAGCTGTTTCTATCAAGTGACCAAATCGCGGATAAGTTTGTTTCCAAGGAACCATGCCACCTATGTCAACCACAAACAAGATCTGAGCAGTAGTGGGGGTTTAAAAAGATTAAAAACTATGAATACGCAAGCCAGTGAAAGCTGTGATTACGAGATGTGTGTCAAATCTTTATGAAACATAAAAGTAGCAGAACATTTGAGAAAAATAATGCAATGCAGGAATTTTATATTCAGACGTGTCATCTGATCTGTGGTAAGATTAAGGATTATTTGTTGCAAGTTTCATGAAACTGGGCTGAGAAGCTGCTTCAGGCCCAAAAAACAAAAAAACAAAACAACAAACAGTTAGACTGTGGTTTCCATGCATCTTCCACTGCTACTCTGAACAAATAAGATCTGTAAAAGCAAGATCTCCATTCAAAACAGCAACATTTAATACCGGACCATAACAGTTTATTATCTGCAACAGTACATGTACATCGACCACACTGCATGTTTACAGCAGTTTACAGCAAACATAGTAACACACAAAGACATGCATGCAAAGTGCTCTTGGTGCAGATCTACCTCGTGGTTAAAACCACCAGTCGTGGAAACACCCATTGGACTCAAAACTTTATAACTTAGCTAAACAGGTAGTCTTTGTGCCCATTTCCTCTTGTGGAAAATAGCCCCAGTGTCCACTACTTTCAACACTTTATGTTCAACTAATACGCATTTTAATTGTACTTTAAAGGGATAGTTCACTTTGAAATTAGTTTTTGATATGTTTTAGCTTACCTCAATGGCATCCAAGATGTAGGTGTCTTTGTTTCAGCAGTAGTTTCAATTTTGATATTTTTAGGTCAAACCGTTCTTGTCTGTCAGTCATATAATGGAGGTCTATGGTCACCACCTCAAAGAGCATGCACAGAGAAGTCCAAATTAAACATGATTTAATGACTCGTAAATGTAAGTACACATTAATGGCCTAAGACACGAAACGAGCGGTTTGTGTGAGAAAACGAACAGTATTTATATAGTTTTAACTCTTGTAACCAAAGCCACAAAGCGCCCGCGCCCTCAGATCACTTGGACGTGGCTGTGATTACAAGAGGTAAAAATGATAAAAATACTGTTCGTTTTCTCACACAAGCCGCTCGTTTCGTGTCTTAGGCCATCAGTGTGTACTTACATTTATGAGTCATTAAATCATGTTTAATTTGGACTTCTCTGTGCATGCTCTTTGAGGTGGTGACCATAGACCTCCATTATATGAGTGATAGACTCAAACGGTTTGACCTAAAAATAACAAAATTGAAACTACAAACAAAGACACCTTCATCGTGGATGCCCTTGAGGTAAGCTAAATCATACCAAAAAAATAATTTCAAAGTGAACTATCCCTTTAGCTGTTAAGTCTCAAATAATAAAATAAATCAAATAGTCAAATAAATAAATAATTATTACTGTTAAGTATGAGTCCATTACAACAGATTTTGTTCAACTTTTTTTCAAATCTGATCATGTTCATTACTCTGCATTTGATACGAATCAGAATACGCAACTAAAGAGTTTAAATCTATGAATTCCCACAAATAGAAGTACAGAAATGTTAAAATTTATATTTTTATATACAAATATATACACATGTGTTTTATATTATGAATATTATAAATCATTAAATATCATACATTATTACGTTTTCACTGGCTGTAGAAGAGAGTAGAGCTCATCCTGGGAACTAGGCCTGCTTCCAGCGGGAGGCATGGATGATTCGGCTGCAGCATACTGAAAGATCAAGATATTAATGAATGGCCACATATGTCAGTATTAATAAAGTACAGCCAGGCCATCATTATCAGAAAATAAATCCTCCGACATGTAGATGTGTCTGAACGGGTTCACTTTGCAATAATCAATTTAATCTACAAATGGACATGAAATACAGTTCAGGCAAATTAGAAGTGCAGTTATGTGAGATATGAAACTATAATTAACAACAGTCAAATGTGCATTTTAGTGTTCATTCAAATAATACATCTGCAACTCAAAAATAATATGCTAATACTAATAATATGAAAATAGTATGCTAATTAAGCACAATAATTCATTATTATTATTATTATTATTATTTGTTAAATTAAGCTAATATTCATTATTATTCTCACCTGAGCTACAGTGGTGCTTGGTGGTTTCTCTGAACTATTTTTAGATTTAGCATGAAGGCAGTTCTTCACCACACCTGAAGAAAACAACAGTGAATAAACATCTCCGTATCACTACACTTTTTGACAGATTAAACGAACAAAATGAAAACTAAATTAATATTGTTATAAGATAGGATATTGCTACATTTGTGTAGATCTTGATTTTGTCTACTTTGTCTAGTAGTGAGTTCAATCACCTTCATTTATAGAGCCTAGCGCGTTTAATAATACAGATTGTTTCAAAGCTTCTTTACGGTGATAATAGGAAATTAATGGAACAGAGATTCAATGAGACTTTTACTGTAAAACAAGAACAAACCTATTAATGCAATGATCAGAAGCACATTCAGCAGGACAGATATGATGATGGTCATATTTCTCCATGGTATCTGCTGTTGTGGAGCATCTTCTGTCTGATTCATGTGGACCGAGTCTGTAATATTCTTTTGGACAAAGTCTGTAAAAGTTTATAGTTCAATCTTTCAATTTCAGTCTTTAACAGAATAATACAACTATTATTAGATCTTCATACAATATATTCAATATGGACTCCATCATGTGGTTTATAAAGACATGAAATGATAAAATAACTCACCGCTGATGTAGATTTTGGTGCCGTTGTTGAATTTTAGTGGTTCACTAGTTTTCACACAATAATAAACTCCTAATTCATCAATGGTGATATTCTTGATGAACAGACGACTGTTAGTTTTCACTGAGTATTTGTGTTTATAGATGATGTTTTCATATTTACCTCCTCCTTCAACTGTACTATCAAAAGAGCGTACAATCAACTCTGGAGGATCCGGTAATTTCAGTTTGTACCAGTAAATCTCCTCTATATCAAGATCACAGGTTATATTCACATCAGATCCTAAAGTTACTGGTGTGTTTGTTAGACTCTCTGAGGCTTGATACAACATGAACAGATCTATGACAGAAAGAAATACACATTTATTAAGATATAAAATCAAAAGAAAACTGATTTAATGAAATGTGTCATGAGAAACTCACAGATCTGCAGCTGTATGATCTTCATGATCTAATCCAGATGAATAATATCTGCTATAGTGATCATTCACACATCTCGTACTGTGTGCGGAAACAAACCTCGACCACATGCACAGACGAGAGGGGAAGTCAGAGCTGAAATCATGATTGCACAGCACTTATTTATTTAGTTTTCCAATTAACATCATATGGAGCAGGCTGTATTATATCAAAGTATATCATTATACAAATATAAAACAGAAAATATAAATACACACACACACATTTAAACGCCAAAACAATCAGCCACACAACAATGGGTAACAGGCTTTTTTTTTTACACATTAAATGACCAAAAATTCAACTTTGGGTTTGAAAACTCTGTACAGTTATAGCCATTCATGTTAATGCACACAAACTTGGGAGCATTTTTTCCGTAGATACAGTATAATACAAATGATGATGTTTCATATGTCAAAAGAGTCCAGAGTGTCTGCATTGTGATCCACTGCTCCAAACATAAGTATGAAAAATATAATGACCAAACAAGCAATTCCTTCAGCAGTGTTAAATAGAACTGATTCAGATTGAGAATATTAGTGTCAACAGCAAACACAACTGGTCACTGTCACTAAATGTTATCAAATGTGTAGGAGCCATTAGTTGTGTGGTAAAGTTTTGTCCACTGGGTGGTGCAGTGGCTGTGTATAATTAGAGCACAAGTGTGTGTGTTGGTAATTGGGAAACACAAAGTGTTTTGACCGTACAGCAGAGTAGCTCGCAAGGTGGATTTAAATCTTATGCTGTTCAAAAGGCTTTATGAACAAGGAAGGCCACAACAAGTTTTAAGTAAAGTTTGGAGATCATGTTTAATGGAGCACAAGTAATAATGAAATTCATTTGTTTGCATGAATTGCATCTACATCCGTCTGCATGAACTCTGTTTGTACACATTCTAAACTTGCTTACCACTGACTTTGGAAAACTATGATAAAATGTAACCGCCACTTGAAGCAAAACTCAGATAAAGTGCAGAGTAAATCCCAATAGAGCAGTTAGAAAAGTCATAATCTTCCTTGATTGTGTTTCCATGGACGAGTTTCTTTGTCTCTGAGCTGGTTCTTCAGGCTTTTCTGTAAGAAAAACAAAATAATGTGGAGAGAAGCAGTTCTGTAAATTCAGTAAGTGTTGAATAGAGATAAAATGGACATTTAAAAAGCTGTAATTTCCCAAACAATGATTCCATGTACCTTTGACATAAAGCTGTAGCTTCTTTTCCTCATTTGATTCTTGAATAAAGCAAGTGTAGTTTCCTGCATGAATTAACTCCAGATTTTTCAGCGTAATTGAATAGTTTCCGTTTACATACTCTGAAGGGAAACTTTCCGCTCGATTCTGGAATATTGTGTCCTGTTTTTGTAGTGAGGGTTGGCCATTTATAATATTTAACACGTTCCTTCTCACATTGTGTCGCCAAAATACATTACTTTGTTTATTCTCATACAAGCACGGTAAGGTGACGGAGTCTCCAACCACACACTCAAATTTGTCTGGAGAGTCCTGCAGAGAGACTGGGGAACAGAATATTATGTTAGGAAACAAAAACTGCACCAAATATAAAATACATCAATAGATGCCAATTCTCTTAAAGGGGTCATGAACTGGCTTTTTAAATTTTGTTATATTGTTGTCTGAGGTCAACTTATGACGTTCGCTTGGTTTTTGCATTCAAAAACATCAAACTGAATAAGTAATAGGCTATTTTCTACCCTAGTTTTGAGCCTAGCTGAAAAACGCTCGGTTTTAATGGGCGTCTCGCACTGAAGACTTGGAAGTGAACGCCCACTGCTGTGAGTGGATAACAGTTTTGCATATTATAATGAGTTTCAACTCACCCGTCGATGCACGCGGGGGAAATTGTTTCGAAAACATCCAATGATGTAAAATGGCAACTGGAATGATTCGCCCATACATGTTCGACCCAGAGTCCGTGTGTTGCACAATTCCTGTCAGATCCAATATAGACGGCACAGCAGCGATCTTTAATCTTAATCGGTCTGCAAATGCAGTCTTGTTTACAAAACAATCCTCACTGAAATGAAGCGAACAGACGGACAATGTTTTACCTCATCAGCTGGAACGTCATTAAAAATAAAGTTTATCCGTGCAGTCCTATTGGAATACAGAGGAAGCTTATGCAGCGACTGTCTTCTTCCACAACCAGTCACTGCACAATATTCTGTGTTACTCGGTAGCTCGATCCGGTTTGTCATGACGATGTAGGCATCTATGTTATTTAGCTATGCGTGTAATGCGTGAATCAGTGGGCGGGGCTAAACCGGCCGTGTTGAAGAAGGCGTTGATCTTCTGCGGGGGTGGTGTTTTATCCTCATTGACGTCATAGTTCCCCACTTTGAAAAACGAGTCGTTTGCTGAGGCTGGTGTCAATAAAAGCTTTGATTGGACTAACAAGGACGTTTTCAGTTCTGAAACTTACAGGATATTCTTATAATATGATGATGACCTCTTAGATGTCAAAACCTCACGGAAAATTTGATTTCTCAGTTCATCGCCCCTTTAATTGAGATCTATGAATACTTACCTTTGCCTGTTAGATGTAGAAGTAATACAATGAAGCAGCATCTGCACAAATGAGAGAAAGCAAAGTTAATATTTGATAATCTATGGCTGGTAGCGCCATCTATGATTCTTGTGCATATCCATTACTATTGTGCTTTTTCAAATATTCCCTTTCATGCAGTGTGCAATATAGCTGTTTGTGAATGTAAACGTTCTGCAAAGTTGTAAAGTTGAAAGTGCACGATAAATTAAGTTATTATCTCCAAAAAGAAAGAATAGACCCTGAACCACCAATAGGAGTCGATTGTTTCGAATCCCACTGCGTGGCGGTTCTACGTCACTAGAAGATAGATTTGCATTACGCCCTCCTATGTTGTACGTTGTCCGTGAACAACTTGACCAGCCATTAAACGTAACTTTTCTGATGACTGCTTCTCAAATCTCAGAGTTCAATGCAGGTTTCTTGCTCTTGACAGATGGGCCAGTAGTAGTACTAAGTTTATTTGTACCTTACTCCTCAGAAATCACAACCTGTAAGTATGAATAATTCATTCCAGATGTTCAAGAGAACAAAACTCTCACTTTGTGGGAAATTGGTGCAAAATATCTGTAATAAAAATGGAAGTTTTGGAAGTTGGGGGGGCCACTGTGGCTGTATTTTTCATACATCTTAAATTAAAGAAAAAAAAATGCAAAAAACACTATCTTTGTCATGTTATCTTGAGTTTGGAATAATTTATCGTTTTGTATCGTTTCGGGGGGGAGTGGGGATTTGGGGGGTCATTACACCCAACCATTTTAATGTTTTAATGGTAAGAGATTCCCTGTGCAGTGCTAAAACAACTTCAGTGTTTATGATGAGTGTTTTTGTGAGAGTGCAGAACGCGGTAAGTCAGTCATGGCTTAAAGGGAGCGATATTGGCTATATATAAAATCATTTGTTTTTACTACGGCAGCTGGTTTAGTCCAAAAATGCTCAGTTATTTGGCAGTTGGGTCTGTTCAAGGTCGGATCACGTTCTCACCACAAACGAACCGCTCCAGAGTTCGTTTGAAAGCGTACCGAGACCACCTCTTCGAGGAGGTCTCGGTACGCTTGTTTAGTCCGCTTTTGGTGCGCACCCGAGTGCGATTGCTGCTTTCACACCTGCCCAAACGAACCGCACCAAGAGGGAAAACGAACTCTAGTGTGATTCAAACGAACTAAATGAGGCAGGTGTGAAAGCACCCTAACATTTAGACTCATGCAAAGTGTATGCACATAGGCCAAAAAAGAGAGAAAGAAAGAGTTTACAATGTCTGGGAATGTGAGTAGAGGTAGTGCTTAAGAGTCTGTAATCCAGGATGCCAAGTTGTAACACACGGACAGAGGCGGTCGGATCCATGTGCAGCACTTTATTTCAACTTAAACACAATCAGACATAAACCCAGATATTCAGTTAAACAAAGGGGCAATCCAGTAACTCATGGTGATAACAGGCTTAGGTCGAGGCAGGCAGCATCAACAGTCCAGAAGACAGGCAAGGGTCAAGCGTCCAGCGTAACACAGAATACTAAAACAGGGAATATTGCTCAGAGATGTACGCTTACAATGTAACGACCTCGCACCAAACACAGAGATGACTCGCCCTGTTTACACGAGAACGATTCCGGGTGAAAAGTAAAAATATTTTATCGGATGTGCCTTTCGTTTACACTGTGACGGCGTTTTTGAGGCTCAAAAACGCAAAAAAGTGAAACCACCCTCCAGAGTGGAAATCTTAAAAAGCTCCACTGCCGCGTTCCCGTGTAAACGGTAAAAACGCAAAAGTCTGCTTGACAGTGAAGGTTGTACGCAGGCGCGTGGACTTGGTGTTGTTGTAGTATGCACTCCTAGCCGCCTGAAGTGCATAGGCCTACTACATTGAATTTCACTCCTTTTGCGTTACCATTTGCACACGGATTTCCCACACAAAACACTCATCTAAACGCTGAATAAAAAAAAGATGACGTAATGCCACTTTTGCGTTTTCTCTTCAGAATTGTTTCTGTGCAAACATAGCCTCAGGCTTAAATAAGGAACTCAATAACCGATAATCAAACACAACTGAAACATAATTAACCATAATGAGTCCATGGTGAAAACATAACACAAGGAGTTAGTGCCCTCCAGTGGCTCACGCGGGCACTCCAGCTGGCATAGCCTACATAACACAAGTCAAACAGATTATGTTGTTCATAGTCTTATTTTGTCAAACTGTTGCTTGGCATTGGTTTTAGCTGGGTACGGTCCCTTCCCACCCTTCTCTTTTTCTTGTCCCTTCTCCATATTATTATTTTACCCTCAAGATTTCAACAATGTATGCGAACAAAACATAACTTGTATTGGTATCAATTTCAGTATCTGTCCGCGAGTGATCTTAACCAGAGCGCGCTGCTGTCCCAGCATGCAACAAGGCATGACATCTTCACATTCTCTATATAGTGTAATGGAAGTGCTGGAGGAAAGTTAGGGGAACATTCATTCGGCAAACCTATAAATAGTGCGCTATTTCTGTAAAGCAGAATTCCTGGCTAACCAAAAACAAATCTTAACCCTTTAAAAGGAAATGTTCAGTATGTTTCTTTTAATGATTGAAACTAATTAGGAGGGCTGAACAGTTCAAAGAACAGTTCAATAAGGTGAGGGTCGGGAGTCACTATTAAGCACCATTTAAAGGTGGGATGTCCTTTTCTGACACATTGTCACTGGAGCACATGATGTGAGAAGAAGGAAAGATTGTTGGGGTAACACTTTAGAATACGGTTCCTTCGTTAATGAATAACAAGAACTAATGAGTAACACAATATTAACAATTTAGTAACTATTATTAACTAACAAGAAACTCTGATTAACGAACTATAGTAAGTAATAGCGCACAGACGAAAGTGGTAGTTGACTATTAAGTAATCAATAACTACTTTTTTTAATACTTCCCAGAGAACTACTGAAAAAGTTTATTAACAATCTAGTAACTACTATTAACTAAAATAAATTCTTATTAACAAATTAGTAAATAATAGCTCACAGATGAAAGTGTTACTAGATACTTCTGTGGGAATTACTAATTATTTGGATTCGTATTATAAAGTGAAGATCATTGGAACTAACTAGTAATTACTCAAGTGTTACTAAAGACATTTTCTAAAAGTACACTAAAGTTCACCAAAAATATCAAGCGTTTGCACAAATCATGACTAGATCATGTAGTAACACTTGAGTAGAGAAGTCTTTTCTTTGGCAGGTTTTATGAAGTTTTCTTGTATTTTGCATGTTCAGTTATTTTTTTGTTGCCTCAGGGCAAAGTTGTGTGATAACGGGTAATTTTGAAGGATGTCTTGGGCAATACCTCACACTGTCAAATAATGTGAGACAAGAATGGAAGATGTAGGCTTCCTTGGGGGCAGGAACACCCAAAGTGATATGCAAAAACTGTAACGTACACCTCTGTTTCACAGCAGAGAGGAACGGCTTTTTGGAGTTTCACACGAATCTTATAACATGTAGTACATGATATGACACACTACATGATACAAACCTATGCCTGCTTTACTGGTAAATCAAATATATCAAGTGTGCTTCAAGTGTTTTCCCCTTTTTACTTAATGATTTCTAGACATTTTTGGCATTGTATCTTGATCTTTTTCTCTATGATTTCACTTTTTTAACTTTAGTTCGTGTGTAATGTTGCTGTTCAAGCAATGTTGAGGTTAAACAACATCTGCAATGTTGCGATGCTCAAAGTTCAAAGCAAAGCGTGATATTTGCTTTTAAAGAACTAGTTTTTTAAAGGATAATTTCGATATTTAACATCTTGAGTCTATTTTGTAGTTTGTTTTGAATGAAATAGAGTGGTGGACTTAGAAATTTTGACAATGGGTCCTGTCTCGACTTTTTGACTATTTTAGAATCGCCTGTGACAGCGTTAGACTGGTTGTCTATGGGCATGCACAAACATGTCCTTAAAACAACCCTTAACGTTCATTTTCAAAACTGTGAAACTCACCGAGTGGTTGGTGGTGTTTGTTGATGTTCTGAAACAAGTAGACTAGTGAAATACCGTTTCTGTCGTGTTTTATTTGTCATTTTTTTAAATCGCATTGATGTCTGCTGGAGGACTCAGTGCTCGTTGATATTACTGCGCTAGCTACCGGAAAAGGAAAGGGGTCTGTTTACATTTGGTTGTAGTCTTTTTGCTCGGTTCTCCGTCTTGCCATATTCGACTGTGTATGTGATTTTTTTTTTTTACGGTGCGCTAGACACTGTGTTCCGTACAGCGTCGCCATCAAGTGGTCGGGAGTGTGCTAATGCTTCAGACTCAAATATCGAGTGGAAGTTTATACGCGGTTGTGAGGTGTCTGAAAAAATAGTTCCACTATAGCAAACAACACGGATTGAAAGCATACACTGCGCCGATATATTTGTTTTTAATCATCAACGAAAACCACCAACCACTCGGTGAGTTGCACAGTTTTGAAAATGAACGTTCAGGGTTGTTTCACAGGCGATTCTAAAATAATCAAAAATTCGAGACAGGACCCATTGTCAAAATTTCTAAGTCCACCACTCTATTTCATTCAAAACAAACTACAAAATAGACTCAAGGTGTTAAATACCGAAATTATGCTTTAAGGACTAAACAGCTGGTAGGGACTACACAACATTCCTCCTGGGTAAGTGACATCACAGACCCTAAAATTTACATTAGGAACCTGATTTATAGAAAATCATGACAGAATATGCTAATCAATGCATAAGTTTATTAAGCCACGAGAATACTTTTTGTGCGAAAAAACAAAATAATAATAACGACTTTATTCGACTATTCCTTTTCTTCCTTCTGGACCTGAGACGAGAGTTCAAGAGATTTCCACGACGCATGCGTGAGAATTGCGTTATTTTTCTACTACTTCTTGCACAATTCTCGCGCATGCGTCGTGGAAATCTCTTGAATCTCGTGGATATCTCTCGTCTCAGGCCCAGAAGGAAGAAAAGGAATAGTCGAATAAAGTCGTTATTTTTGTTTGTTGTTTTTTTTTTTCGCA